ACAATTCAAAAAGGATGTGGAGAAACTGGAGCGTGTCCAGAGGAGAGTAACTAAAATGTTGAAGGGTCTGGAAACTATGCCCTACGAGGAACGACTTAGGGAACTGAGTATGTTTAGCCTGGAGAAGAGACGGTTAAGAGGGGATATGATAGCCCTGTTTAAGTATTTGAAGGGATGTCATATTGAGGAGGGAGCTAGCTTGTTTTCAGCTACTCCAGAGAATAGGACCTGGAATAATGGATGCAAGCTCTAGGAAAAGAAATTCCACCTAAACATTAGGAGGAACTTCCTGACAATGAGAGCTGTTCGACAGTGGAACACACTTCTTTGGAGAGTGGTGGAGTCTCCTTCTTTGGAGGTTTTTGAACAGAGGCTGGATTTCCATCTGTCAGGGATGCTTTGATTGGGAGTTCCTGCATGGCAGGGGGTTGGACTGGATGGCCCTTGTGGTCTTTTCCAACTCTATGATTCTAAGACACTTTCTGGAATCATATGTTTGGTTCAATATGGTGAGCAGGCTGCCACTGGTCATTATATGGTAGAGGAACAAGGTATTCTCCCGTTCCTCATGCATATAACTTTATATACATGTAACTAGCCAATTTCTACTCCTTGATTTTATAATTTGGAGGAATCACATGAATTTTTTTTAAATCACAAGCATCTTTCATATGGAATGTCTGCCTCATATTGTGGCACTTCATGGTTGAAGGGCTGCATGTGTTTCTTTATCTAGCAAAAAAATGGTGCTAGCCTAGTAAACACACAAACCAGGCTATTCAGAATGACTGAAAAAGTTTTGTTCATTATGACTGCATATGAATCTATATATGAATTACTAAGGTGTTTTGCCATTTACAGAATGTGAGGTTATAAAAAGTTATGATCTGTGATGCTCGGTCTTGGGGACAAGAGCTGGGGCAGCATATCTACTGATTGCAAAAAAGGCAAACACATCTCTAATGCAGTTTGACATCACTTTAACTGTCTTGGCTCCACCCTATGGAATGCTGAGATTTGTAGTTTCTTGTGGCACCAGTGCTCTCTGACAGAGAAGGCTAAATATCTCACAACACTACAAACCCCAGAATTCCATAGCATTGAGCCATGACACTTAAAAGAGTGTCAAACTGCATTAACTCTGTAGTGTCGATGCAGCCTCATTGTGGCAAAAAATAAAACGGAGTGACAACTGAAATCCAAAAAAGTCATGAGGCCAAAGGATTTCACATCCCAAGTAGATAGATAATTCAACTAATTCTTTTCAATCAGTTTTCCACGATCAAGTGCCTTGCAAATGTGCAGGACCACAACTCCCATAACCCTAAAGCTAACATACATGGATATGAGATTGTAGAAGTTATGCTTCAATTCATCAGCACAACACCTGACTAGAAATAACTATTTTAAGGTAAGACCCATTCTCTCCCATTCAGTGGGAGGGTTATGCATGCTTCATATGTATTCATTCAACACTCTTCCTTAGATCCTCATGTTCTAGTAACTCATGTCCCTGTGGAAAATAATTGCCTGCATGCTGTAGTGTACACAACCTCTTCTGAGCAGTATGAATCATAAAGAGTGAAATGACAGCACATGCAACACCAACTTATGAGACACTGTGTAGACAGAATGTTGGACTAGATAGACTTCTGGTCTGATCCAACACGACTCTTCTGATGTTCTTAGGTTAATGGACTGTGTAGTAGATCACTTTGTACATTGCTTTTCATACTGGGGAATGGCAGAATGTAGAACCTAGTGCCAGTGTGGTGTAGTGTTTTGAGTGTTGGACTATCACTCTGGAGACCAGGGTTCAAAGCCCAGCTTGGCCATGTAAACCCACTGGGTGACCTTGGGGAAGTCACACTCTCTCAGCCTCAGAGGATGGCAATGCCAAACCCTCTCTCAAGATGCTAAGAAAAAAAAAACATGATAAGTTCACCCTAGGGTTGCCATAAGCTGGAAATGACTTGAAGGCACAGAGTAACAACAATGGCAGAATACTACAGGTGCATATTCCAACAATTAATATACACTTGTGTGCAGCTAATGAATTAAACAGATTTTACAGGCATCATCAAGTAAGCAATGACCAATGGTAAGCTACTATTATGTGCAGCACACCCATATGGTAAAAAATTAAGCCACCAAAAACAACATTACAATTAAAACAAGTCACACATTAAGAACAGATCAGAGAGATCGCTTTGAGCAGATTATCTGCCTTGAATGGGTGTGGATGTTGTAAAACCCCATCACCAAGTGTTTTTCTCTTCTATAGAAGAGGGAACCTAGAACAAAGCCTTGGTAGCTGATCTACCAGAGGCTGGAAGATATAGACAGGCATTCTCATCTCCAGAACATAGCAGAATTGCTTTTTTTGGACTAAAACTCCCAGAATCCCTCACCTTCATGAACAGTGCTATGCTTGCTTGTGGATTCTGGGAATTGTATTCCAAAATAACTTTCTCAAACTCTGGATGTATCTTAGGTGGTTCCCAGAGAAATGTATACCTGTATCTTTTAGCACTGTTGATTTTGAACTGGGTAGAGAAGGAAATTGGCAGTGAATTCAGATTGGTTCATATGAACAGTTAGGCTACAGAACTAGCTGAATCTGCTGAGCTATTTCTAAAGATGGACATACATAGACTACTGTAGCAACCTGAAGTTGGTGATATCTTCCTCCTCAAATTTTCAACATGTGCAAAACTATATTGATATCAAAAATAAATAAAGCACAAGGATAGAAACCACATCTCCATCAAATGCTACAGAGACCACAGATTGCTTCTGACAGTTCCGATTAATGCCCAACTTCACCTCTAAAACAGCATAACCTGATGTATATGGCAATTATAAAATTAACTACCTGTATTATAAAACATCTCTATGAAGCCTATTCTTACTCTGAGTATTCATCCAAATTTATCTCAAGTTTACCTCATTCACTGATAAAACTTGCAGTTTGAACAATACTCCAAATCAAACTAAAATCCACTGATTAGCAATATTAGGATCAACCATAACATCACTTAAGTATATCAACTTTCAAGATATCCGGTCTAGGGCCCCATTCACACTACATAATTATATGTTTATATGCTTTTATTCCACTTCAATTGCCATAGCTGCATCCTATGGAATCCTGGGATTGGATGTTTATGGAGAGGCATTTAGAATTCTCAGCTGGAGAGTTCTAGTGCCTCACTGAACTATAAACCCCACAATTCCATAGGATGCAGCCATAGCAGTTAAAAAATAGCACTATAACTGTATGTTGAATGAATGAGACCCAGGAGTTACAAAAAGTAAAGGATGGTTGGAAGACACACGCAGAAAAATCAAAAGATCTGGACACATGTTTTTGTTTCTGCAGTTCAAGTACAATGCCTCTCCTTCATTTTTGCTGAATAACTTTCCTTTAAATGTTCCTCTTTGTCTGAAGTCAGAAGCAATCATCACATCTCAAGGCAATAAATTCCATAAAATAATACAGTGCACAAAGAAATATTTTTGGCTTATTAGAAATCTACAGGTAATGGATTTCACTGAAGGACCCAAAACCTTGAAGGAAAGAAACCTCCATACCTGCTCTATAGCCATGCTTACCATAACATGCATAATTTGGTAAATGGTTACTCTCCTGTCATTCCGGTTGCCCTTTTCATGCCCCTTTCCATATGGTACAGTGTGATTTTGACCACATCAGCACCAACACAAAGGGAAGAAATCATATGGATTTTATCTGCATAACAGGTTAAAGGGCAAAAGGTTGTTATCTACACTGAGTTTATTTTGACCCTACAGGCAATGGGAACCTCATGTACCTGTGGTCCTCTGTACTGTGGCCACTACATGAATAATCCATTTATATAGGAAGTGTTTTTAAAATCATGGCCTTGAGATACAGGTTGAGTCTCCCTTACCTGGAATTCCAAAATCTGAAATATTCCAAAACCCAAAACTTTTTTCATGGTTAATTGAGACAGTGACACCTTTGCCTTCTGATGATTCACTGATTACAAACTTTGGACAAAATTATTGAAAATTATTGTATAAATCTACTTTCAGGCTATGTGAATAAAGTGTATATGAAAGAATGAGTAATTTTGTGTTTGGACTTGGGTCCCACATCTAAGATATCTCGTTATGTATCTATATGCAAATACAGATATTCCAAAATCCAAAATAATAAACAAATAAAAATGTCCAAAATCCAAAACACCTCTGGTCCCAAGCATCTCAGATAAAGGAGACTCAAGGTGTACATCCAAGGTTCTGGCCAAGACCCAGAATTAGTGCTGTATATCTCCACATATGTATATCTCCACATATGGAGTTCCACCTCATCATATGTGCTAAGTAACCCTTTGAGTTGAATGGCAGTACGGCACAACTGAATGTGGGTCAGCATGAGTATGTGCACTAGCAATGTGCACCATGCCCAATGGTATTGCATACAGGACTTCACTTCCACAACCTTGAATGGAATGCACATGAAACACTACTGTCCAACTGCATGCCACCTTCTATCTTTCCTTCCCTAGCAAGTAGGGAATACACAAAGGGTTATCAATAATTACAGGAATGAAGGATCAAAGTCATACTGAATTGTATTGTTTTGGGTGAGCAAGGAAATAGAACAACTTTTTATTCCAGATCCTGGTTGTGAAAAAATAATGGCTGGCATTCTGTTAAGCAGTTAACTTATGATCTTGTAACTGCTGGGGATTCATAGCTAAAGTCAATGACCAAATGCGACCCACAAACCCTACTTTTGCAGCCTGATAGTGCTCTAGATGAACCTTTCTGACATGCTGGAGAGTAGGACACTGGGGAATTATGCCTGCACCACTCTCTCATTTGTGGGGCACCCCGAGAAAAGCATTTGGGGCAGGATGATATACTCAGTGAACAGAACAGTTCTGCAAATGTAACTTCCCATTGTCTCCAAAATACTCTGGTCAGGGTGCTGCCAGACTGATGTTGAAGGTTTCTAAACAGTGGCATTGACAGATGTAACTATGGAAATGGAGCTCTATTGTTGTAGTACGTTGGTGATGTAGGATTTCAGCCAACTCATTTTGACTTCGTGTTTATCTGAAGTTTAAATGTAAGCCTAGAATCCCTACTAGAACAGATCTATTGAATCAGTTATATTTATATAAGTGTTGACTTACTCTCCAGTACTTGATTTAATGGGTGTATTCTAGTTGGGACCAGTGATTGGATTTAGGTCCACAGATTTAATTAAACAATTCTAGCTAGTGTGTAATCCTGTTTCTGTGGCTCAGATGTTATCTGTCCACGTACATCTTTCTTGAGCAAAGAAGAGCTCTGTGTAATTCTGAAGTCTGCACATTCCTCTATCAATAGAAGAAAGATATTTTATTAACTCATTGTTCAGGTTCCTTAGGATTTGTACGGCACAAATTCTTTATACAGTAGGCCCTTGGTATCCTTTGAGGGGTTTGGTTCTGGAACCACCATGGATACCAAAATCCATGGATGCTCAAGTCTCATTATATACAATGGTATAATCAAATACTATCCCTTATATAAAATGGCAGAATAAAAGTTTGCTTTTTGGATTTTCTTCTTTTGGAATATTTTAAAAGCTGGGGATGGTTTAATCCATGGAATCAGAATCTGTGGCTATGGAGGGCTGACTATACGAAGCTCCTACTGTGACTAGTTATCAGACCAATACTGAATAATTTAAAGAAATGTTTCCTTTTCCAGCTCAGACATCAGTAGGGCTGCCAGACCCAGGAAAACCCAGAGGAGTGAAGACGAGCAACCACCCAAAGGGAAGGTATTTTTACCATATATCAAAGGAGTTACAGACAGAATAGGGAAAGTAGTGAGGAAACACAACCTCCAAATAGTTTACAAACCAACCAAAAAAATCCAACAAATGCTGCGCTCAGCGAAGAACAGGAGAGACCCTCTCACAGCCGCAGGAGTTTACTGCATACCATGCAGCTGCGGACAAGTCTACATAGGGACCACCAAACGCAGTGTCCAAACACGAATCAAGGAACATGAGAGGGACACTGCAGACTGGGCCAGCCAAAAAAATCAGCAGTAGCATAACACATTATAAACCATCCTGGGCATAAAATGCTGTTTGAAAACACTGACATTCTGGACCATGCCAACAACTATCAGGTCAGAATGCACAGGGAAGCCATCAAAATCCACAAACACTTGGATAACTTCAATGGGAAAGAAGAAACCCCTAAAGTAAACAAGATTTGGCCATCAGTCCTACAAAATAAGAAAATCAACACTCAGCAAATGCAAATGGGAAACCAACCAGGGTCAGGGGCTTTCCCAGCAGACAATAGCAGACAATATTCTTGTTTGCATATCTTCCCACCCTGAAGCCATGCCATTAACAACAGAACAAAACCTATTCAACACAGAACAATACACAGTTTACATGGGAATCACTCCTCCCTACCCAGGGTCTCACAGTATATATAGACCCACTCTCTTCCATTCCAGTATTCTCTGAAGATGCCAGCCACAGATGCTGGCGAAACGTCAGAAAGAAACTCTTCTAGAACATGGCCACACAGCCCGAAAAACCCACAAAAAACTATGGATGCCAGCCATGAAAGCCTACGACTTCACAATGTTTCCTTTCTTTTAGCTGAGCATTATATAGGATGTGAATACAATAACAATATTTATTGCATCCACTGGCTATCATCTTGCTTTCAGTAGTAGACAGGTGGATACCCCACAAAAGCCAAGCGTGAATGTGACAGCTTTCTTTTGTTTATATTGCCTCTTGCACCAGCTATAGAAAGGTATATTGCCA